TCAATGCAACTCTTACTTAATTAAAAAAATAAAAACCCATCACCTTAATTTTGTGGAAGCTATAATGAGCCTGGTTCTACATACCACTTTTATCAGCTCCAATCTCCCATTCCCCAGGGAAAGCAGTACAGAAGTGTCTTGTCCTTTGATAGCAATAGATAACTAACCTCATTCTGCAAAAGCAGAACTCAACAGAGTTGTTCTTTGTCTTCAGCAGAAGCAGGGAATCAGACCTCATTGCCTTGTGCTGAACCCATTTTAAGGCAATTTGATGCCTTGCACATGATCATTGAAAAGCTTCCAGTTGTACCTGTTTTTTTTCTCCCAATGCTTTTCACCTGGCATTTCTTTATGCAACAGAGCACCAGGAAGTTTTATATTTAGAAGAAATAGGACTGGTCATATTTTCTGAACCTATATTTTGAGGCCTTCTGTATCCTTACCTATCCATTACATTCAAGTCAAATGTTTGTCTTTTGGTAGCAGCAAGGATTAAAGATGTAATTGCTTTTAAAGCAAACATTTTCAACTCTCCTTAGCCAAACAACCTGGGGCATTAGATTAACACTTCCCTGCCTCAGCCTTCATCTAGCCACTGCTTGAAAAAAAAAATTATGCAACAATAACCATATTTATTAAGGCTTTTTTTCCATTACTTTAGGTCTTGCTAGATATCTACTGATGTACTAAATCAAAACCAAATGACAGAAGAACTTCAGATTTAGTGAGGGGTTTGGTTACAACGCCACAAAAAACCTGTGATGTCTCTATACCTCTGTCCAGACTGAGCTGCCACTGAGTAGGAAGGCATTACACAAACACAGTTGGCCACTTTCCTGTATTGTAATGACTCCTATGACCTGAAGACTTGATGCAAATCACAGAAATCACTTGGTGTGGTTTTGTTTAAATGATCTGCCTGACAGAAATATGTGTCTTTGTGCAGAGTAGGTATGACAAATTAAAATAACTCAGGAAAAAACATCTGTGTTACATTGACAGATGGAAAGCAAACAATCTGTACAAAACTGTGTTTCTCTGGCAAAAATAAACCAAAATGTTACTTAACATTATGAAAATTTAAATAAACAAAAGCTTCAGTATTACAGTTCACCATATCATTTTTATAATTAAGAAGTATTTCACACTCTCAAGCAACAATAAGATGATTATGAAACCCACAAGTTTACCTCTGCACACATTCACACCTGTGTTACTTCAGTTCACTGAATTCAGTGGAACAACATCTGATTTAAAGTAAAGCAAGAGAAGAGACAGAGCTAAAGACTAAAAGTAAACCTGAGGGTTTTGATGAAACACAATCCTCAGCATGAGATACAAAAGGTGACTTTCCTGAAAAGTGCTACCTGAATTCTTAATAGCTTTCTGTACATAGCCTCACCTCATCTCATCCTGACATAATCTTAATTAGTCTTAGTCCTGCTGCAGAGAAGCCTACTGAGGCAGTTAGCACCATACAATTAATCAGATATTTTGCACGCATCACAGCAACCAACAGTGTCAACTTACTGATGTGAGTTAACACAAACAGAAATCAACCCTGCCTTTCCCTTTCACATGAACTAAAAGCATGTGGCATGGAGTGAACGTATGATTGTTTCTTCTACACACCACTTACTGTCCTTTCTTCCCTAAGCAGCCATTTCCTAAAGCATCATTGCACTCTGCAAAGCATGTTTTGGGTTTCCTGGTGGTACTAGAGGAGACATGTAATTTGGTATTTTTCTTAGATTTCTGTTTCTTCAAAGAAGAATAAGTTTATCAAATGAAATTAACAATAAGACATACTTCTTGCAGGTGAAATTAATGAATCTCACCTTTTTTTTTCCTGTGCTTTAGCAGTTTTCAAGAAACTGAATTTTACACCTTCACATAAATATACATTTGAGAGCACAATCTGCAGTCATTTCACAGCAGCAGAAATTATTTTATACTTAAGAATATAAGTATACACAATGTACACACTCAACTGATTAAAAGCTTCACCACCTATCTATGTAATTATACATCTTAATTTTATTCTGTTGTTTGAGATTTATCTTTGGTCTTCACTGCAGGAGCCAAACACCACAGTATTGTACATAATATCACTGAGGAGGAAACCATACAATTACACAACTTGATGGCAAAGAACAAAAAGAAAACAATTCTACAAAGCTGCATTTTCCTAAGCTTAAACCAAAAGAGTTCAATAAACCACAAGAAGCTTTACTCAGTTTTGTATGGCATGTGTAACATGCTGTGGTATTAGCAGTACATGCAATGCTTCATACATGGTGGTGCTTCACTTCAGCTGAATATGGCAAAACTACTTACAACATCAGTTCAGCTCATAAATAATATTGAACATAAGAAAGAATAGTCTGATATTTAGTGATTTCTCAGGTTCTCAGTGAGTTTATAATATTCCTACAAATGCTCTATTTAAATGATAGTTTATCTCAGGAACTGACAACTAACTGCTCAACACATTCTCTCCACATTGTTTGTGCCCCAAAGCCGTTCAGTATCTAAGACAGGAATTATTAAAAGTTGGGACAGCTCTAGTGTTTGCATTTCTTAGCAAAAGAACATGTACACTCTATTCACTACCTGACACAAGAAGTCATTCCCCATTATTGCTGTCCAAACTTTTGGGGATTATTTAGGCATTTGAAGGCCCATCACAAGAAACTGGTGAGCTTACTGGAACTGCCACATGTTTCAGGTCCCACATGATTACCACTCCTCAAAGGAATCTAACCTCCATTTCTCAGTACCTAATTGCCCTGCATCTCTCCTATAGTAAACTTCCTAATTTATTATAATACTAGAAGAATTAAAACTCTTGATAGGATGGGTACCAAGTTTCTATGAAGTAAACTAAAATAGCAGTAAGTGAGGCTAATAAACTGTTCATTTTTTCCCATCTTTGCAAATAATAGGTATGTTACCAAACAGCAGCAACTAGGAAGAACAGATAAAATGGCCAAATATAAGTTTATCCCAAACAACTTAAAGCCCATCATCAAGCTGCCTATATGTACTGATGCTTCTTCCATGCTAAAGACACAGCTGTCCTTTATCTTGCCCTGTGTTATATTTTACAACCCTACAGTGACCTTCACTGTCATCTCACTCAGATTTGTCACTCTGACATAACACAGGGCTGGCCTAACACCATTGTGAGATGCAGGAGGTCACAACAAGATTTTGGTTAGTCACTGTAAGATTATGAGAAAAATGTTCCAAAGGGATTAGCCATCATAATAAGCTCAGACTGTGTCCACCTAAAGATTGTACACACTGAGAACTGCAAATAAATGCAAGTGTGAGGTTGCAAGTCTTCCCTCCTCCTGACTCCTGTTATTATCTCACTTAGTCTGGCAGTTATGTCATCTAGACAAGTTCTAGTGAAACTGTTATTGCTTTGGATGATTTTTCCAGTCTAAAGTGCCAAATTTCTTGAATGACTGGTGAAACTCTTCCTGAAGCAAATTTATTAGCCTTAATCATGGTAAGTTTCATCAGTCCTGGAACTAAAGGCATTTTACTTCATCACATACTGTAAGTTCATTGCATTTGGCCACATCAAATAAGCCTTTCTTACTCAGACCAACTGCTTATTCACAGGAGCTTTCATTTGAAAGTGGACTAAACTAGAAAAACAGATTTATGGATAATGATTTTACAAGATTTCAGAAGTAATGGCATTCTCAACTTCTCCATATTTTCCTACTTAATCTCAAAGCTAGGGTTTTTCAGTGCTAGAAATAGTTAACACCTCCAAATCACTCAAAATTTGAAATGCTTGGCATTCACCTAAATCAGACTGAAAATTACTTTTTCAATACATTATTTTTTAGGTTTCAGTTGTGTTCTTATTTGGGTGATGCTACTATTCTTCAGCATGAAAAGCACACCCACTGAAGACTTGATCCTTAACAATATGCAGTAGCCTAAGGAAATATTGTCATGGGAGCCAGGAACAGAATTTAAGCTTCTTTGTCTCTATTGAGATCCCTTTGATCTGAAAAATTTCTTGAAGTTGAAAATCATAAAGCTGGTAAGAAGGGCACTGGCACATCTATTTGATATAAAAATGCAACCCAGGTGAAATCTGTAACAGGAAATTCAACAAATTCAACACACTCAGAACAGGTGGCAGCTGAAAGATTCCTCACAGAAAATGGTTTCTGATGTCTAGTTCTCTTTTGACAGATTTTGCTAGACATATTTTTGCTACATTTTCTGCTTATTAGTAGTTAACAATTTGCTTAAGTATGAACACCCTGGTTTTAATACATTTCCACTTAGTTAAACATAACTCTGGTCATTCTTGGTGTGTACGTCAATTTGTCTCTGGAATATGAGCTATCTAGAGCATCTTTTCTCCAGCCCAGCACAGCCGAGTTACATTGTTCCTGTTGTTGGATCAGTATTTGCTTACTTAAGCAAGAAACGTCATTTTTTTCTTTCCCCACCTTTTTCTCTGGGCTCCTGCAGAGATTTTACACAATATATGCTTAGACCATTACTAATGCTTAGACATCTCCAGAGTGTGTGTTAGCATGGATTGCCTTTGTCCAGTGACAGGAGAAATGTGCATTTATGCAAAGTGGCGTGGGATTTGCAATGTCATGCACAGTGGAAGGTCCTGCTTATCAGCCTTTTTCACAGTGTTGACCTTATTTATTTTGCAAGGACTCAAACACCCTGGCAAGTGTGGAGTCTGCAGTTCCGTGGAAACCAGGCATGCCAACTGAATACTTACTCTGCTAACACTCTTCTCAGACAATCCCCTTAAAAGTTATCAGTAACATGAAGATGCCTCCTTGTCATTTATCCATTCATTTTAGCTCCTCCAGAACAAACTTGTTTTCTAGGACCATCAGAACGTTCTACCTACATCCCAAAGAAAACTGGGCTGCACGTACTGATGCTGGCAGTACTTAGAGCAAGCTATGAAACAGAAAATCAGTCAAAATGACAGTGCTTACCCCGTTCTGTGTCATAGAGGTACACAAACTTTTCCCACTTATAGTAAGTCAAGAGGCTCAAGATGGCTCCTTTCAAGGCTGGCCGCATCTGGATGACGAACTGCACATCTGCATCCGTCGGGAAGCTCGGGGTGATGAAGGACGTGTGAAGGGCTCCACAGAACGACGTCAGGGTGTTCATGGACATCTGGTCATAGAATCCAAAGATGGCATAAACTCCTCTGGAAAACTGTGAACAGACTAAGAAAGACAGACAAGGGTGTTAAAATCTGATATATATGAATACAGTCAAACTTTCAAAGTATATTTGAGGTAAGCCCTCCAACCATTCCTGAAATTATTCTGTATGATGCAGTTGATGGAGTGAATTAATGAAATAATATATACTAATTTCAGAGTAGTAACGATTGTACCAACTTTGTAGCACTTAAACTGGCCTGAACACATTTAATTTTTGTTGTGCTTTGTCCTGTGTTGCTACAATCCACTAATCCTTCTTTATTCTTCAAAAATAAACATGGGATTACATTACCTGTCTGTAAATAACTTTCCTTCCTTGAGTAGCACCTTGAGAACTCTGTGAGGAGCTACATGACAAATGTCAGGCCTGCCTTAAAGTCAGAATGTTAAGGGGTATTTTTTCCTGGCATCTAAAATTGATTTAGATCTGATTCAAAGAAATCAGAATGTTTTATTCCTTTATCGTCCACAACTCTAAAATCTCTGTGTGGTCTTTTTCAGTAAGGAATTATGGTGGCTTCTTAACAGAGTGTTAAAATCTTTCAGAGTAATAAAGTCTGTGACTTATTATATGACAACACAAATGAGGAGCACATATTGTTGCTTCATGGGACTAAAGCTGATATCCCTTAAGCTGAAGGCTCTTAATCATTAACCATTCTGCTGTCCTGAGGAACTCATCTTGCACCAGAAAAAACTCAAAATGCAGACAAAGATGATTTTTTTCCACATGAACTTATCTGGGAAAATACGTCATTATTTCCCATCCTTTATAGAGATTGAACAATGACCATTTTGGACAAAAGTGAAAATACTTCGATTTGTAAACATGGCCAGCTTCATGGCATTGCAGGAAAAAGAATTTCTTTGTTGTTCAGCTCTGTAGGAAAAGCACAAAGTTCTTGTGACCTGGGTTCTTTCCTTGGAGGGAGTCTGCATCACAGATAGAGAGGGAGCCTGCTCTGTGAGGTGCTGGGGCTCTGGATTATAAAAAGACAGTACAACTGCAATACAATACAGCACAGCAGCACTTCTAATCATACCACTGCTGAACAGGGATGAGCATGGCCCATTTGTAATGAAAAAAAGGCTTCCCAGAAAAATGTTCATTCATTAACAATTACACTTGTCAAGAACTGGATTTAACAAAAATTTACAACCAGCCCCATTGTATTGGGGTGATTTTATGGTGATACTCTATTCCCTAATCCTCTAATTCCCTAAGCCTCCAGAAATGGCTGCTATAGATTTAATATGAACCAGAGGGTGGGGCTGGAGCCTGGGAACCCCAGGTGAAGGCTCTGTTGGAACTCTTCACAGAGTGTGCTCTGCACACCGTGGACAGGGACATTACATTGCTCCTTTGTTGGATTAGTTTTGCTTGCTTAGGCAAGAAGCTTCATTTTTTTCTTTCCCCACCTTTTTCTCTGGACTCCAGCAGAGATCCTTCAGTTTTTTTGGTTGTGGAGGGGTGGTTTTTTTGTTTGTTTTGGGGTGGTTTTTTTTTTCCTCACCCTTGAAATGTTTTGGCTTGTTTTTTTTTCTTTTTTTCCCCCTTCCAATGCTGGGAGCCTGTGTGGGCTGTGCCAGACAGCCCAGCCTCAGGAGGGACCAACCAGCAAAGGAAAGGACACCAAAACCAACCAGCTTTGCCTGCTATGAGGAGGAGACCAACACCAGAAAGGTTCCCATCTATTCTGCCTGAGTGGCTGCGTGAGCTCCTGTGCCTCCCCTTCCCTGACACAAAGGGGACAGCTGCCATCTCTGCCCCCTGGCCACACAGGCCTGGCAGGGGTGGGGGTTAAGGTTTGGAAATTTCAATTTCCAGCATTTATTCAATCCTTTTCTGTGCCTTGTGTGTACCCTTTTCTGGTTTAATAAACAGTTTGGGTTTTTTTCACTTTCACCCATTGGTATTAATTTCTCTCATTGGCAAACTCCCTTCTCTTAAGAGGAAACATTAATTTCAGTGTTTTTTCTCCTAAAACTTGTCTCTAAACCAAGACATCCATTAAACACTTCTGCAAAAACACTGCATATTTAACTTCGTAAAAAACCAAGTAATTCCCAGTAAGGAAGACATGACTTCTACACAGAAATGTACAGCATTGCTACTTCTGAAATACCATCACATTTTCCACCATAAATACTACCATTCATGATCACTAAAAACTGTAAGAGTAATTTTAAAAAGGATTCTCCACAATATCAGCTCATTGACACAGCGTCATGGAGAACATCTAAAATCAGCAGTCAGGTGTGAAAATTTGATTTTCTTCCTGAAGCTCTAGATGCAAGAACTAGAGCCGCTGTTAAAGAATTTCTTTAAGTATTTAAGCCACTGTAACAGGACATGACCAGCAGCAAATAGCAGCTGGTGAGACACAGAAAGGAAATAAGAGGTGGTAATTTCTGAAAGGAAAGTTTGCAGAGGTATCAACCAAAGAAAAGATATAAAAGAAGTTATAATACAGTAAGAATTTATTCCCAGAGGCATGACTGAGGAATTAAATACACTGTTTAAAAAGGCATTTTGTTAAACTACATACCAGCAGGATATAAAGCAGAAAAGCTACCATAAAAAATTATCTGCTGAAGTAACAAATAAAAAGCATTAACTTACAGATAAAAAAAGGGAAAAACAAAAATTACATTAGTCTCCAGATCATTGAAATGGTGTCTAAACCATCTAATTCCATAGGAATAATCAGTGAAGTGGGATTAATGGAGTGAGTGTCCTCACATACACCGATCAAGCTTCTTTCATGTATATATTAAAGGCACAGTTTTTATGTAGATTCTGAACTGCAGAGAAAACCAAGGAATCATCCCTTCTTGCAATGTAAACCAACATTCTCAAAGATCTCCTGATCCTAAAAACCGCAAGTTTTTCAAATAGTCCTGGATTCACCCATCATCTCTTATCAGGTGTAAGACTGAGGAATACTTCTGAACTGTGACTCAACTGAGTTAAACTTTATTTTCACACCAGATTGTGCTCTTTTATGCAAAGTGCCCATCATCAATTGGTGAAGAATCTAAGAAAAAAAACCAGCCTGTGAACACCCTGACGAAGCAGGACCTTCTCCAAGTAACACCCTGGAGCCAACATGGAGCTGCTGCTCGCATGGAGGCGAGAGCTCGGATTTGGTCCTCAGAGTACTTGTAATTATTTTTCCTCCTGATTTTGGAGGATCACCAAAAATATATTCTAACAAATTCAACTACCTACCCACTCTTATTTCTTCTGGGTCAGGTTTGCAGTCACAGCAGATTTGAAAGATTAACCCTTTGATGGAGTGTCTTAATAGTTTATTATTCCTGACTATCTATACTGCATGCACTGTAGGATGCCAACTTAGTTTTACCAGCCTATTTAAAAGGCAAATAAATCTTAGTTTTTATAAGGAAAAGCTAAAAGGCCAATTATCTCAGTCCTCCATGTTAATTTGCAGTTTTTGACTCACAGTTTTGTTAAAATTTTGTAGCATTAGGTCTTCCACACAGTTTGTGACCTAATCTCCTCTGCGATCAGACAAATCTATAGAATATCCATGAACCCAGAGTCGTATTTGTGCTTGTTTTCCAAAAAACAAATGTGTAATTACATTCATTTTAATTACACTATTATTCTAACATCACTGAGCCACAAGAAAAGATTTAAAAAGACTAACTAAACCTTAGCCTTAAGCTCTTTTTACAAGCTACTTTCTACTGACAATCAGAACAACCTTCATGTTTGAGTAAGAATTTTGGTATTTTTCCTTAATTAATCACAGTTGATTTATTGGGGTTTTTTCCCTATTTGAAAAATACAGATGGTCAAACACAGACTTTGGCTGTTAAAGAGATTATTTGGATAAGTCCTAGTTCAACTTCATTCCTCAAGAAAAAAAGCAGGTTTTTTTGCTGAGCTATGAATCTGCTCGTAATTATGTGGATGCACATCTGTTTCCAAGGACAGCACATAACCAAGTTGCTTTATAACCTGATCTGAAAAAGTTTCAATATCTACAGATGAGGGAGAGGTCCTGAGCAGCAGTTTTCCAATGGGAGATCATGATAAACCATTATTTTGGCATTGGGTGCAAGGTGAGTATTAATTAATGGAGATTTAATGCTGGACTTATTCTCACAGTGAGCTGCCACGTGTCATTGTGTCCAGGAGAGAAAGTGATGGTATGACAGAAGTCTGTGAATTCTCAAACACGTCAAGAGAAGATAAGAAACTTTCAGGTCATGACAGACTGGTGTTTCCTGCCAAGGAAGGAAAATGCTCAGAGGCAGAGTGATAACAGTCGTAAGCAGAATTTACTTTAAAAAAAAAAATCCAAAAAAACCCCACCACCACACCAAAAAACCCCAAACCAAAAAAACTAAACTAAACCAACCAAGCAAAAAACCAAAACCAAGCCCTAAAAAACTCAAACCCCAAAACCAACTGACCAAAATGCAACTACTGAAGCCAAATAGAAATCTTAGTTTCCACACTGAATAGCAGCTGAGCTATCCTAGGCATCAGTGTAACCCAATGAACCCAGATGTCTGTTTTACTTTCATTTCCATCCTTCCTCCAGTCAAATCAGGCCCACCACAGAAACTTGCTAAGATTAACCAGATAAGTTTGTTTGTTTGGTTTTTTTTTCACTCAGATCCCAAGAAGGCTGCAGGCCAGAATCTCAAAAGATGTCCCACTTCACACAAGTTATTAGATGATTTATGTATTTTTAAAATTTATTTTTGCTTTCTAATGGTATTTAGTTTTTCTATGTTTTAGTGACTGTGAGTATTCCTGACACAACAAGGTTGTATAAGACCTGACATTTCTACTGTCTATTGCCTAGAAGCTAAAGTCAAAACTTCTGACACCTTTTTTTTTTCCTTCCAGTTCTTACTATAAACAACTGAAGCGCTACTAGGAACATTTACAAACAGGTTTGGATTTTGTTTGTTTAAAGAGGAGATATATAAAGCTAACAAAAGGGATATGTTACTGGTGG